TGGGGACCCAGTCCGTTAGCAGAAGATGGCATTTGGTGCTAATTTCCTTTTATGGAAATCTTTCGGTTAGTTGAAACAGACAGGGGTCTCGTGATAACTCTGAAGCCTTGGACAAATGGTTTCCCCAGAGAGCTGTGTAGACACTGTAGTTGCATTTTTGTTTATTTTGAGCTGTCTTGTTAAGGGAGGGCTTGTATGCTGGCGTTGACGTAGGACAGCAGTCAGGCAGTGGTTTCTGCCTTTGACAGTTGATGTGATAGTTTGCTGCCAGTGAAGTTTGACTCACTGTATCTGGAAGCTGTCAGAAGTGGGAGCACGAAAAGGTCATGACAGATGGCTTTGGATAAGTGGGTTGGGGAGGAGAGCTGGCAAAGGCGGCAGATAGCCTCCCTTGTTTCCGACCGAGGGAAGGGGCTGACCCTGGCCACCTCGGGCTGGCCCCCCAGCGCTCTTCTTCACCAGCTATAGCTGCTGGGGTGGACCGTCCAAAGCCCCAGTTGTTAGTGGGGCAGCAGGCCAGGCATGATGAGCCCCTGGAGTTCCTTCCCAGCAGCTCCCAGCCCTTGGGCACTTGGGAACTACTAGATAGAAGTCATCTTCAGTTTAGGGTCACTTTCCTTGATGACTAGTTACAGAATTCAACATTCTCCCTTCCTCACATGTTAAAAATTGAGAAAGGGTACTGACATCTGAAGTAGAAACCCCCCAAAATGTCAGCTTTAAAAAGGACGTTTGCTTTTATTTTTGGTGAAATTTCTACTTTGGAAAAATATAGAAAAGAAAAGGAGGTAATCCCACTACCCGGAGTTAACTTGACCCACTGTTCCCAGTTTGAAGCATATCCTTTTGATCGCTTTCCTTTAAGTGTTTTTCTGGTCCTTTTCACCTAGTGTCATAAGAATTTTTCCAAGGCAAAGCTTTTGTTTTACATAATTTTTCGTGGTTGTATTGTATTCCGTCATGGTTATATTAACTATTCTTCCATTGTTGGCCATTTAAGTTGGAGAAATGTAAACTTTCCAAAAGCCAGCTTCCCTTGTTTTCTTGGACATACGTTTATAATTTGAATTACTTTAAAATAGTGCATAAACAACACTTTAAGGAGTATCTCTGCCTTTCCTTCAGTGACTTTACACAAAAACTCTAGCCAAGGAAATCGAAACTAAGCTCGGTGATCAACAAGAAGAATATTGAGAGCATTTCATGCTCAAGCTGGCCGTGTATGAACACAAATAGGTGTGTGTTTGCTGGCACATTTGAATATTGTTTGTCCCTTGGTGAAAACTGAGAGGAGACTAAGGACTAGTTGGGCAGAATTTCTTACCACATCTTCTTGACTCAGCTGCACGGGGCCATGCGGAGCGGTGGGAAGTGCTGTACGTGGGAGCCGGTAGCTCTGGGTGTGAAAGTGGCTTTCCCACTTACAGGCCTTAGACAAGCTCCTTCAGCTCTCCTGGGGTGTGTTAAGTAAAACACCTAGCACAGTTCTTGCAGAATAGTGTAGTAGCTGAGAGGACAGGTTCTGGAACCAGATTACCTGGCTTTCTTCAGACTCCAGCTTTGCTACTTTTTAGCTGTGTGATCTTGAGCAAGTTACTTAACCTCCCTGTGTTTCGGGTTCCTCATCTGTAAAACAGGGATACACATAGTAGCCAACTTCATTAGGTTGTTGTGAGATTTGGAGCACACAAAGGATTTCTAACCTTTCTGGCACAGACTTGGTGCCCGATAATGGCGTCACCCTCTTTGCCCCTGGCCTGGACTGTGGCACCAGCCTCCTAACTGGTGTCCTCTCCACCAGGCTGCCTCCTCCTTTCAACCAAAAAGGGGACCCTGGACTCCCAGGCTGGGGCCGGAAGAGGTCTCTGTTTGCTTCCAGGCTGAATTCCACACACTGTCTTCAGCAGCACGGTGTGGGTGTGCTCAGGAAAATGGGCTCCGAAAGGGGCTGCCACTTGTCCAGCAAGAGCAACAGGGTCCAGTGGCACCCTGTGACGCTCTGTGCCCTGCTTTAAGAAGCTGGGACTCACACACATCACAAGTAGGGTGTGATTATTTAATGTACAAAAGGATTTTTCCCATCAGGAGAGATTCCCCTACAGGTTTCTTTAAATAGTGACTCCTCTAGGCAGGCGAGTGTTTTACAGATCATTAACTACTTGACTGAAAGCCTGCAGGGCAGAGAAACTTAAAACTAAAGTGTTGGGAGCCCCTGCCAATTACAGATCAATCCAAAATGAAGATAAAGTATCTCTGGAACTAGAAGTCAGTGGGAAAATGTGATTTGATTCAGAAAAAATCTGATTTACACACAACTTTTTTGGAACACACCAATTGTTTAAATGGCGTTCCACCTGCCTGCCCATCTTGAACCTAATGCATTTACCTCCCACATCTTCATCCCCAAACTGCAGACTTGGGGTCCCCCTCTGTGAGCAATGACTGCACAATAACCCCAGGAAAGGGCGTCATTGGGAAAGTGTTCTCGTGGCCGAGCAGAGCTTCGGCAATTGATGCAGAGATACAGGCAGTAATGGATGAACTATACAGTAACAATTTGCAGATAAAAATAATAGAAGTTAAAGTGTACTTTACATGATAAAAGAAAGATGAAAGAGGACGAGAGTCTGTTACATCTGAGATGGTTACAAAAGTCCTGCTTTGTGAAGTAGGCTCTGTTGAAAAGATTGATGCAATGGGGAGTGACCTTGGCTTGGAGCAGGAGCTGGTGATGTATGTATGCGCATCCCTCTGCTAAATGGACCCAGATTTGTAGCACTAATATACATGGGAGCCCAGAACCAAACTCAGTACGGCAATAAATCAACAGCCACTTTGGGTGTCATTTCTGGTTTATATTCCACTATTGTTCTATCACTTTAATTCATGTCACTATCATCTTTTCATCTGGAACAGTTTTATATAATTTTCCAGTGGAGTTACCTGACAAATCCTATCAAATTAACAAGCTACATTAACAATATTGACTGACTGTGGCTTCAGGAGTTGCAGGGCCATGGAACAAAATTTTAAAACCGTGTTTCTCTAATGATGAGCTTTCCTCTCCCTTTCTGAGAAAGGAACATGGGGCAGGGTTTATTCAACATAAGAGATACGCACATCTATTTTGTTCTGCTCGTTTTGACTTTTATAAATGTCAAAATAAGAAGCAGAAGAAGAAGACGGGAGAAAAAAAAACACTTGCTACCAACAACCATGGTGTAAGTACTTTTCTTTTTTCAGGGAACTATAGAAATGTCCAGATCTTTAACAATTAATGACCGGATTGGAGGGAAGAGTGTAACTGGGTAGTCGTAATCTATTTTAAGTGAAATGTAATAAAATTGGTCTCCTGATACATTCTCGCCCTCCTGAAATCATCTAGACCTGAATGTCCAGAGTCAATTGGGCTTATGACATTATGCCTAATTGAAATATGGTGTTCCTGAAATATGTCTAATGACAAATTCCAGCATTCGATTAATAAAAAATACCAATTGTTCGTCTCTTCCAAAGACCACACAGTAATGAGCCGGGTTAAGCAACTGAACTGCCGTGTCTCCTTCAGAGACAGCAGGTCAGACTCCACGGTGGTCTGTTCGGTCTCCTGCCTTTGTCTGCCTGCTCCTTGGGATTTCTTTTATTCATAAAATAAAATAGAAACAGACCTAATCACTAGGATTTTCTCTGTATTTGTTTTCTCTTTGAATTTTAAATTTCGTCTCAGACTGTGGTCGTTGTGTTCTTTTCTTTTTGGTTTTTTAATTTAGCTGTTTCTTTTATCTGCCTGATCTTTTGGCCTGCTGAGTTTTCTCACATTATATTTAAAAATTTCTGAGTGCAGTCCATAGGATCCATATGTTAACTCTGGTTGTCTTTTCGGTTGCAGTTGGTACATTTGGTTGTTTTAATTATTTCTTGTATCTTTACTTCATTTTGCTTCTTTTCGCTTTGACCCTGACCTTTAAACTGTGGCCTGAAAATTAATTACTTTTAAGATTCCATCTGGGGCCTACACTGGAAGGCATATTGAAGGGTTTTGTTTCACTTCATGAACAGATTCCTCAATTTTCAGTGAAAGGAAAAGGAGAGCATGTAGCCTGCATCCCGTGTGTCAGGCTGGGCACACTCTGCTCGGTGATACCTGTGCGTTTCCAGTTACCCCAGTACGCCCGCCACCCCTGGTGTTACCTTTGTTCTCCTAACACCTTTGCTCCCAGTCACCGTACAGTGTGTTATGTCTGTCACAGCTCTGAAAATGAAACGTGAAGTACCAGGAGTTAACATTCTGGGTTCCTGTTAGAAAGTCTTTGTTGCATAAAGCGCACACACAGTGCTGTCTCCCCCTCAGCGGAGAAGCAGTGACCTCCACAGCCTGAAGCCAGGCTCCAAGACTTGAACTTGAAAGGCTTTGTGTAAAGGACCCTTTGATCCTCCTGTGACTTCCTTTAAATACAGTGTGGATAATTATTTAGTGTCAGAGAATTATTTAGTGAGAGAAAGATTTTTCCTATTTTTAGTGTGTAAGATTTTTCCCGATCAGAAACTGTTTGTTGGTTGCTAGCTGTTTAGGCATAGGTGATGTTACAGCTTTATCTGTCTAACCCAGATCTTCTAAAGCAAAACAAAACAAAGACCACTGGTCAAAACTGTTTAAATGAACCTTATCTTACAGTTTATTTCATTAACAATACGTAGGTAAATGCTATATTGTATCTGTATTATATCTAAGAAAGCATGTTTCTTAATACCTTTTTGTATGGTTTTTGATTGTCCCTCCATGCGCCCTTCGGCTCACCTACCAGGAAAGCAGACTGTGTGACTTCTCTGGGCCATTTGGAATCTCCTTATGTCTGTCTTAAGAAGCCCGTGGCATTCCCCAGAGCCCTAAGATGTTCATGCAATGTAGGATTTACAGAACAGGTCAAATGGTTACACTGAAATCACTTACACCTTCTACTTCCTGTGGTTTCTTTTTTGTCCTCCCCTTGGCCTTACAGGTATCTCTGGAGACAAAGTAGAGATAGACCCTGTTACGAATCAGAAAGCCAGCACTAAGTTTTGGATTAAGCAGAAACCCATCTCAATCGATTCTGACCTGCTCTGTGCCTGTGACCTTGCTGAAGAAAAAAGCCCCAGTGAGTAGTCCCTTTTATTTATGTCTCCTTTCTCTCTTCCCCCTCTTCCCCTCTGTGTGCTGGGTGCCAAGAGGATATATTGCCACCGTGTCCTTTTTTCCTTGGGTCCGTTTAATTCATTACCAGAAATTTCTTTTAATCAAATGGAATTGTATTATGGTGCCCAGAGCCTGACATGGGCCCCTATTCTGTTCGGTCTTGATGGCAGTAGAGAACCTCACAGCAGCTCCTGACCTCAGAAGCCCCTTGCCAAGGGCTGGGGGCGCAGGGGCAGATTTCTGATGGGAATCTACACTTACCAGAGCCCTCATTTCACTTTGTGATCCCTTCCTCATCCCATTTGGGGGTCTGGACCAGTCAGACCTGGACCTGCCTACCTTCCTTGCCAGATTGAGGGAAGCTGGAGGATTTCCTGTGGCGGCTGAGGACCAGATTTAGATATCCATCATGCCGGAAGTGTCAACGCCCTCCAAATTGTTGGCAGCCTCGTGACCTACCAGCTCATAATTAAACTCCTGCAGAAGAGATGGCTGCTGGGTTGGCACTCCTCAAAGTAGATAGGGTCTGGGTGTATATTTTTAGCACATTATATTTTTGCAGTTAAGTAATTGAGTG